CAGAGCGCAGGACCATATATCCCTACGCGCTATAAAGTCATGCTGACTGACTATATAGCCATCCCTCGAAAAAAGAGGCGTCCTTATCATCCTTCTCCTTATTCCCCTGGAGTGTTTTTCCGAATTGAAACAGTCAATGGGGCCTCGCTGTCTTGCGACTGCGGCTGCCGAGCCGGCAGGAGCGCTTCGGGGCCGCGGGGGTGCGGCCTCCCAAAGGATGTGTGGAAGCCAGTCTCATGTGCCGTGTAGGTAGGGCTTGTAGGGTATTGTCTACGTTGACTAGGCTATTCATGCGAGGTCCCCTTGGCAAACGCCAATAGTGGCTTGCTTTCCCTTTCAGGTGGCGAACTGACATTCCTGTGTTTTGGTGCTCATGGTTTTTGCACCGCAGCATAGCTCATGACTGAGATCGAATGACCCACATCTCACGCTTTATGTGTGTCAGTTCTGCAGGTAGGGTTGCTCGCAATTCCTGCAGTCCTTTTAGGCGTTCCCTTAGTCCTGCTCTCACTGGAAGCTGCAAAGCAGCAAGTGGGATTGGAATCCTTGCAACCCTACAACAAGACCCTCATCTCGCAACGCACTGTAGCTGCGTGTGAAGGTCTCGTCACTGACAGCATCCCATAAAGCAATGGAGTCGCTTCGCGGGGAGCCAGGAAGTATGGCTGCCAACTTCAAAGTAGCCCAGCCGACGGAATCTGTGAAGTTCACAACGACAATACAAGCGACAACTGGCTCAGATGCCTCGCCGTCCAGCTTCCAGCCCCAAGACACAAACCTCCAGGAATCATCACCTTCCATGGGAAAGCCCAGCTGCCAATGGCCACGACAGTGTGGCAATGCTGCCAGCAGCCGTGGCCACACAGCCGAGAGGGTGGCATCAGGGGCCTCACGCCTGGCGCGGCGGAGGTGCACTGCCAACCGTGCACGCAGGCCTAAATCCTGACCCCACATGAAGAGCCGCGGGCCAGGAAGAGTTAGTGAGGCTAGGGTGGCTGCTAGAGCACGGGCTCCGAAGTGCTCTGCGGTGCGATCCTCATCATGGTTTTCGGTGAAGTGGCAGAGCCGGCCTTCCCGCATGTCTGGGCTGTCGAAGAGGTGGCCGCGAAGCTTATCCATGTGTCCCTCCGTCAGCCTGTCATAGAGGACTTTGTCATACGCCGAGTTAAAGCCCTGCCGCAGCAACTCACGCATGGTGCCGCTGGGCAGGATCTCGTCATACTCGTAACACTCTGCCACGAGCAAGAAGTTTGGATGTCGCTCGCGCAGCTTTGGAAGGGCCCAAACCCAGAATTCTTCATCGGGGCGGCGGTAGCCCTGTTCACGAAGGTGAGAGCCCCAGGTCCTCTCGATGACGTCATTCACACAAAGCATCGCCATATCCACACGCATGCCATCACATCTCGCTGCAACATCCAGAAGCTGCTGGAGCATATGCACACGGCAGGTCTCTGACCAGTAGTTCAATTGGGCCGTGTCTGTCCAGTCGCCAGAGTATGGATCCTTTCCAAAGGCCACTTTTCCATCACGGCCTCTGATGAAGAGGTCTGGGATGTCAATCCAAGGACTGTCTCTGGCCATGTGGTTTGGCACGAAGTCCACCATCAGCGCAATGCCCCTGGATGCCAGACGGCTCCGGAAGTTTGCCAAGCTGGCCTCTGAGCCCAGGACGCTGTTGCAGGTGTAACGGGTGATGGCGTAAGGGGAGCCGATGCAATCAGCCTCAGAGAAATCTGCGAGGCAATGTTGAAAATGCTGGCGCCGGCCTGGGTCTGACAGGTCATGCTGGCGTCCAAAGGGACCCAGCTCCCAGCAGCCCTGCAGCCAGCAAACATCAACGGAATCGCCAAGCAAAGCGGTCGTAAGCTGCTTGTCTGTGATGTCGTCCAGGGTGCTGGCTTGGATTTCATAAAGCCAGGGACGGGAATTCAGCAAAAGAATGCTCGGGTGTGCTGGGATGGCGCAGTGCTCTGCACTCATGGCACGGGAGGAATCAGAATGCGAAGCCACTCTTGGGTTGTGCCCCTATGCCTACCTTCATATTGCGCAGTTTGCTGGACTGCTCTGCCGTGGATAGCAAATTGGGACATGCGCTTTTTCGTAGACTTCCTCTCCTTGCAGGGGAATGATAAGAAGAACCTGCATAAGCTGCGTTTGGCAGGCAAGACAAAGGAAACACGATGAGCTTCGGCAA